TTGAGGTGGCTGGATGGAGTCACTGGAGAGGTAGGTGTGGGGTTGGGTAGACTCCGGAGGATGGTGGAGGACAGGAGAGTCTGCAGGAATGTTGTCCATGGGGTTGCAAGGAGTAAGGCACGACTTTGCAACTGAACAACAGCAACTATTTCTAATCATTGACAGATATTAGCATATGGGATGCCATGCCATTTTTGTGTCCTATGGCCAGACGCATGGAGGTTTTCAGTGCCTTGTTCCACTCCCACACATAATTCTTTCCTTCATCTCCCTAGCCTGAAAAGAGCTACCTTTCCTCAGACTGCAAGATGAACTGCGTTTGCCAGCAGCCAGAGTCAGTGACATGTTTGCCCCACAGCTGTGGTACCAACGAAGTCTGTGGCCTGAGAGAGGGGCGGCGCGGCTGCTTCCCACCTGAGGGCTACTGCAGGCTGGAGCCAGGAGCAAAGCTCCTCTCATTTGACGGCCTGTCTGGGGCAGTTCCTACTCTGGGCTTCTTCCAGATGACTTCCCTTTGCAATGTCAGCTCTGAGAATTGGTTCCGCCTGATAGTGGCAGTCATGTCATGCCCGCCTGGTGAAACCGTTGGGGCCACCCTGCTGCATGTCTTCTTCAAGGGTGTATTCATCACCATCAGGGGCCAGAAGGAAGTCTGGGTAAGTGAGAACCTCTGCATGGAAGGTAACAGGTTTAATTGTATCTCAGAACAGTTATTTATCTTGCAGGACAGACAGCAGGACCAGCTTAAGCATCTTGGGTTCCCCTGGCAAGGTGCTCTTGCTGGATATCTGGGCATTCAGTTAGGTAGTCTCCTGGCTAGCAATGTTACACTGTGCTGAAAAAAACATGGCTGCCCCCACAAACAGTATGGTAGTCATGAGGACCATTTGTCTGGGTTGGCCCCATGGAAATAGGCCTGACCCCCAGCACAGTTTTGAAATAATAGTCAAAACCATACACAAGCAATAAGGCAATGGAAACAAACCAGTAACAAGACTAAAATCAGCAGCCAGATATAGACCATGGAATGGTGGGGTTAAGTGAACTAAACTAATCCAATGACACAACAAAGTAGGCTTTTGACAGCACAAGGTGGAGTGGCCTCACAATATAGGGATTTTCACAGCCTGGGTGCTGCAACCAAGAAGACCCTTCTCTCCATCCTGGCTGATCAGACCCCTGAGGGCAAGGCAGGCCTTCTGAGAATCAGCACGGCAAGCTCGCAGGGTCATGTTTTTGAACCAGCTCCCTGAGCCAGAATGGCAGTTTTGTTCTTCTCTAAACCTCTATTGCCATTTGCACAAAGAAGCACTGAAAACCACATCACTCGAGAACAATTGGTGCAGAATCAGCCCATTTGGCACAAATTACAGTAGGGCCATGTGGTTGTGAGTGCTTATTTGAGCAAATTTCATTTGTAGCTTTTTAAAACGTGTGCAAATTGCAGACTGTCTGAGAGACGGACGTCAGAGAACTTGTTCCCCCAGTGAAGCCTGCTTCCGTTCATCAGACTGGAAGTGGACAGGTGATCTCTCAAGCTCCAATACTCCAGATTCCTCTGTTTTACCACACCCCTAGTTGGATCCTAACTTAATTAAGTTGTCAAGCAAACTGGTTAACGCTCGTCTCCCTAGTTTTATGCCACATGCTTGGAGGGAGGCTTTGTTCTGCTCTACATTTTTTTTTCTTGGTGAAACCTTCCTTGACTGCAAGGCTCTGTGTGTGTGTCGCAGGTGAACGGGTTGCCAGTTCGGATCCCATCCAAAGTCACAGGCTCCATCCTCTTGGACCTGGCCAGCAGTGGTATCATCCTGCGCTCACCTCAGCTTCAAGTTACCCTGAGCCCAACTGGAGAGGTGGTTGTAGTCGCTGCCCCGACTTTAGCAGGCAAAGTATGTGGGGCATGTGGAAACTTCAACGGTGACCGGGAGGATGACTTGAAGGGCCCGGATGGAGTGGTTGCAAATATCATGTCTGAGCATTTGGCGTCTTGGAAAGCCAGAGATTTCTTCCCCTGGTAATTGTTTATTTATTTAAAACTTTTGTAGAGTGTCCCATTACTGAAGTCTCGGGAAGGTTTAACAATACAAAATGTTATTATTTTTTTAAACACAGCATCCTAAAATTCAGCTAATAATAAAACCCCAATTAAAACAGCCAGGTCTTAAAACATTGGGAAAATAAAAAGGTTTTGGCCTGGTGGAGAAAAGAATAAAGTGATGGCACCAGGCAAACCTCTCTGGGGAGCGAATTTCACCATTGGGGTGCCATCGCAGAGAAGGTCCTTAAGTTAGGGTTGGAAGAATCCATCCCTACAAACCCCATCAAAAAATAAAATAAAATAAAATAAAATCAGAAGGCTCCATGCATAACAAAAGATGCACAGTGTAATGATTCATTAGTGTGAAAATGTCAAATTGCTCTGTAATGTAGTATAGGAAAATAAACCTGACCCAGAAGTTTTGTCTGAGAATAGTTGTCTTGATGGTATTCCAACAGAAACTTTCAGGGCAATATTCAAAAGGTGGGGGAGGAAGGGGTGCAATTTGGAGAAAGGAATAGATTTGGGCCGCTTATCTCATTGCAAGAGAAGTAGAGAGGTACTTCTCTCCCTCCGCCTTTCCCCCATTTCTTTTTGAGAAATGTTCTTGTGCCACTACAGGATTAGCAGCTGAGTTTCTCCCAGTTGTTGCCGTTCTCTCACCTGGATGGGGCACCATACCTTAGGACATTTGTGGTGGTGGAGGACTGGGAGCTGTAAAGAGAAGCTCCACAGCCATTTTAAAGGCGAGAGTGGTCCTGCTGCCGCCATCAGTCCAGGATGGCGACTCCCTATACTTAGGGGTGACCCTTAAGATATTTATTGATGTAGGAAGGGGAAAATGGACCACCACGCAGAGAACCATTTTCTCATGCTAAGACAAAAAACACAAACTGATATGACTTCTTTATTGGCATCTTGTAAAATTGTGCTACATTTGCATGTTAGTTTCTTGGACACTGATTTTTGTGCCCAGTAGGCACCTTGCCAATGATTCGTTACACAATTTAATCCAGTTATGAATCACTCAGTTAAACAGGATCCTGCGTATGAGGGATGGATGTTTTATGGAGGTCCCAGTCAAATTGTCCTCTTTTGGGCCTCTTTCTCAGTCAGCAAGCTCTGGTGGACTTACCTGGCATCAGTAGCACCATGTTAGGAAGTGCTGGGCAGCTGAGTCTAGCTACCCTCTTAATTTCCCATAATGCTCCAGAATGTTGCCACATCAGGGGCATGGTGGGAAATAAAATTTAGCAGTAGCTGAACTGGTGATAAAAGTAGATTGCCACTGTAGGAGGAAGTGATACCACTTGGGACCCTGGCATGGGGGAATAACCCTTTGTCCCCCCACTGCAGTCCTAATATGGATCATCCGTCCTGTGCTTGCTAGTTGCATTTCGGAAAAGATTCCATTCTCTCCAATGGAAGCTTTTCCATCAATGCAAAAAGGGGATGTGGGTTTCTAGATGTGGACTGGGACTGCAGTTGGGAGCAAAGGATTAAGGACACTACTCACCCCCTTGTAGATCAGGTACCTGCACCTGCAATTTCCTTTTTAAAAAAGCAATGCAGTTGCTGATCACATGAGTGCTGGTGTGTCTAGTTTGGTGCTAGTTAGTTCAGATTCTGATATGTTCTGCTATATTTTCTCTCCCCTCACCCCCTGCTCCCTTTTTCTTTCTCAGTCTGGTTTAAGAAAAGAATCACCCAGGAAACTGAAAATCCCAAATAGATGCTGTCGAACAGTAAAGGGAAATGGGCTTACGTCTGGATGAGGAAATATATTAAATGTAGAACTTGGAAAATCCTTGTGAGCTTTCTCCTAATTGGTGGGATTTTCACAGAAAAGGCTGCTTGATGCTGCTGGTCTGACGCATTATCTACAATCATGTTTGGTCTTAGAAGTTGGCTTCTAGTTCCCCTGCTGGCTTTGCTCATTTTCAAAATACAGGCTTGGTTCTTGTTGGAAGCTGCTCTGTTCAATAAAACTTTGTCTTTAGCTCTTTGAATTCATGGTGAATGAGTGTTTCTGCAGTGGCAGTGGCCAGAAAACAAACCATGGGTAATAAATTATTTTGGCCTCACTTTATCTGAATTCCCTCCTGAGCCATAAGCAATAGCACAACTATAAGTTTGAGCTAAATTACTGCATCACCATCTTGTGGCTGTGTGATGGTACATACAGAAGGACGGAGGAAGAATTCTGCACCCCTTGGTCAGGGGAAACATCTAAGGGAGCTGATCTTAATTGCACAAAGAATCTGGAAGCAAATCCTCAGTAAAGTGGTGGGTCCAAAGCCTCCCATTGCTGAATCTGCAAAGATGGACTCACACGTATGCAGCCCTTTTATTTTACTGAAAGCTTTTATTGATTCTTCTAGCACATTCAGGTGCAGGTCAAGACACAGCAATGAATGAAACCTGAGTGTTCCTGTCCTCAAAGGCCACCTGGACCAAGAAAGGTGGTTTGTTCTGTACGAGGGAACAGCTATCCCAAGCCAGACCGTCATGTCACTTGGTGGCTCTAGGTGCAGGATAGGGTGCCTTGGAGTCAAGTGTGTATAAGTGACTTAAGCTAATGTAAAATATTAACAGAACTGGCAAATTCTATCAATCAGGTGCTAGCTAGTGGTCTAAGCTATATACAGTCTCGAGAGAGCAGAGTAGCTTTCCTTGGCCTGATGTGCTCCAGATGTTTTGTCCAACCACTCCCAGCATGCTGGCTGGGCCCTATGGGGATTAAAGTCCAAAATATTTGGAGGGCTCCAGGTTGTGGAAGACTGTAACACAGTTGTTCTAGGGGGAGGCAGTGACTGTTGGCTCTGCATGGAATGTGGCACATGGGAGATGGGCTGCCCGCCCTTTCCCTGGGAATTGGTGAGGCAGAAGGTGTCTTTGCCCTTATACAGTCCCAAGAGTATATCTGAGAGCATCTGAAGGCCAATCATGTTGCTAGGCTTCAGTAGGAGTGGATTTTAAAACGAGCTAGAAGAAAGAAGAAGACAATAAGGCATCTTCAGTATCCTGCATTATACAATCCAAATCCACCCGCACCACTTCTTGGGGAAAGAATTGCCTAAAATTTATTGATGCATTAGGATGAGCAGTTCCCAAGCACTGTGCAGACATTGGGTTGGACCCAGGTGTTTGAGCAGACCCACTGAAATGAGCAGATTTCAATCAGTCTACCTTAACTTTGGCTAAGTCTGAATCCCACAAATGGTACTCACATGGGGGAAATGAATGTCTGAATAGAGCTTGTACTGATTACACATGAGTGACAAGAAGTTCTTACAGAGTATTCTTCATCCCTGGAATCAGCCCTAATTATAAAGGGGTTCACCTGCATGTGAGTGGGTCTCAACTATGCAGGAGATAGGGGTGTGCATGTAAGTTCTGCCTTCCCCTGCAATATCGCTCTGTGCCCAACTGAACTTTGGACCTTCACACATTCAGCACTCAAATAAGGCTGTGGAACCACATTCAGCATATGATAGGAAACCCTGATAAGAAAGGGATTCGGAGTCAGTTGAAATCAGAATGCCCTTTTGAGGTTGCCAGGGGCTTCTGGAAGTTCAGCATTTGTGTTTCCCAGTGTCCCTTGCACAGTTTAATCTCACTTGAGTTATGGGGAGAGGCCTCCTTCACATGCACATGTTCTTGGATCATTCAGTCCCGGTTCTCAACTGTCCCTGAGTTTTCCACACCCTTGCTTCTTAAGGAGTTTGTCTTACACTTGATTGGTAGCCTCATCCTATAAACTCTTCTGCCTATGCTTAGAAAATACAAACTTAAGAACACATCACAAAGAGAGACACACCTTACTCTGTCTTTTAAACTTAGCTCGTACAGACTCCCACTTCCAGAAAAGGGTCTGGTCCAGCAGCTCACAGTTCAGAATGATGCTTGTTCTGTATTGCTATGATTAGCTGCAGCCATTGCCAAAAATTCTAGGCATCCAGATGAATAATTTGGCCTAAACATCCTCAGTGTTAATCCTCAATAGCTCCTCTGTGCCACTGAGTTTGCAAATGAGGCTGGGCTGCAACCAGCCTCCCATGGTGAGAAGATGGGACTGCAGGATGCTAAAAAGACTGCCATAGATGCAAACAGTACAAACCCATTTCCTTAAACAAATGAAGGACCAGTTGCCAGTCCTGATTAGGCATGTGTGAGAATTCTGTTTCAGGGCTGAAATCTTGATGGATTTTCCCAGTTTGGCCCTGAGATACTTTGTTCCATTTCTCCCTGCTGGTGTTGGTTCAATCTGTAGCAAGTTGATCCAATCTGTGGATTCCATTTTTATTTTAAGGGTGGAAATGTGAGTTAATTGGAGATTTCTGGGAGGGATTCTTGGAATTTTTGCAATGGGCTCAGTACTTAAAAACAATTGGCCGGCTTGTGCAATGTGCATGACCAGAGGTTCACCCATCTGCCCTGTCCTACCTCCTTCACTCAGGAAAACACAAAGTGAAGGATGAAATCGATTACAGAATGTAATTGGGACTAAATGAAGCAAAGTGTGAAGAGGACAAAACTGACGAAGATATTTACAAGTGGGGGATATGCCTCTGAGGGACTATATAGGAGACATGCAAACTTGTGATCCTGTGTACTCATGCAAGATCCCACATATATATGTGTGTGTGTGTGTGTGTGTGTGTGTATCTTCATTTGTACTCATTTCAAGATCTCCCATGAAGAAGATCCAATTTGCACAAATTACCATTCTGCAAATGGCAGCCCTCCCCACAAATGCAAAACATTTCCAGAATCAGACAAAACAAAACAAAACAAAACAGAAACAGAAACAACAGCAACAGAAACGAAACAAAATGAGCACAACCATCCGCCATTGCTTACTAGAACAGAAACACTGTGCAATTCTGTCAGGCCTAAACTGAAAGGCATTTCCAGAAGTGCACAGCCTTAGTCTTGATCATTCTAGGTCACTATTGGGCACCTAGATATTTGCATATCTTTTTACTTATTTCTTTAGAGATCATGAGTCCATTGTTCCAGAGCCTATGTACTAATCTCAGTAGGTACTTTTGTGAACTAAGATGAGACCATTGAGAAATCTGAGCTACATTTCTACGCTCACCTACCATTTTGCATCGCTGTTGTGACGCTCCAGTGGCTGATGACCTCTGTAATGGTGTGAGCTATCCTGCCATTGGGCAACCGCAGGTCATCTGCACCATTGCCGTTGAAGTTCCCACAAGATCTGAATACTTTGTTGGCCAGTGTCCCGCTGAGAGCCACTGTCAAGTCTCCTCTGGTGCTGTAGAGAACCTTCAAGTCTGTTCCTTGGGTCACTATAATCATGTCTTGGGCCTGGCTCACTGATACCTCCCTTGAAGGTTGGGCTGGGAGAGTCACCGGATGCCCATTCACCTATAACAGGCAACAGGAAATGGGTCACACGGATACACCAAGAACAGTGTGAAGATTTTTGGAAGAAGGGTGTGATGAACAGATGCATAGGTGACAAAAATACCACAAGGTGTCTTTTCTTAAAGTATTCTGTGCTTACTTTTATTTATTTATTTATATTTATTTTTCGATTTATATCCTGCCTTTTTCCTAATCTGCCTTTTTACTTATCTACAGTAGGGGTGTAGAAGGTACATTATCAGAGGACTTTCATGGCATCTCTGAATTGTGGACAAACCTAGGGAATGTGAATTTCTGAATATCTGTTCTCTTTATTCTCAACATGACAAAGATCCTCCACTGAGAACCATTTTGTTATAGCGGCTAGTGTTGGACTGGGACTCAGGAGATCTGGATTCCAATTCCCACATTGCCATGAAGCCTGCTGGATGATTTTGGGTCAGTCAATGATAATTGCCCTAGCCTATTCTGCAGGGTCACTGCAAGGATGAAATGGAGAGGAGCACTGTATAAGCTGCCTTGGGCTCCTTGTGAATGCTGAGACAAAGGGAGTGCAATAGTAAGTGTAAGAAGAAGAATGCAAAAGTTCTCAAATTTGACGCAGGCCTTTCTCTCACTTCCTTGGCATGCCTTCCTGAGTCTCCCTCTCACTAAACCTGCATGTCCAGGGCCACGTGATTCTACGCCACCTTTGAATTGTCAGTCAAATTCAGATGGTAAGCTTATTGAGGCGGGAACTTACCGAGACTGAGCTGTCCTGTTTCAGTAGCACAATAAGCTTGTGGAAGTAGACAGTGACAGCAACCACAAGGGGTGTAGGACACTGGGGACACTTCTTCAACTGCACCACCACTCGGAACCAAGATTTAGACTTGGCGTTGACTAGTGCTGTGATCTCATAGGAGCCATCAGATGGAACCTTTCCAGAGACCCCATCATAGGTGGTAAAGATATGCCCTTGGGTAATGGTGCAGTGACCCTCTTGCCGAGCACAACTCCACTTGCCATTACTCAAGACACAGGATTCTGCAGCTGCACATGGGAGTGGCGTGCACACCACCCGGCCCAGGCGTTGGCAGACACATTGCTCTCTGCAGTTGGCTGTGATCACCTTCGTTCCAACCTGCCAGTAAAAACACAACAATGTTAGGCGCAGTGGGCTGGGTAGAAGCTGGGACTCTTGATGGCACAAGTTTTGGTGCCACCATTGACAGCCTATAAGGTAGAATGATGCTATAACTTATCTTCTTTCTGTGATCATCCCAGTGGGAAACGCGTGAAACTCCTCCCACCCAGATGAACGACTGCCAGCCTTGTCCTTCTGCCACTTCTGTCCTGTGATCTGGGCAGTCTATATGAGCCTCAGTTTTCCTGCAGTTTGGACCATCCCTCTGGAATCTTTCCCATTTCAGTTCCCTTTCCTTCTTACTCACCCTTCCTCATCCATCCCTGTTATTTTGCTGCTTCTTTTTACGCAATGAGAATGACAATGTTTTCCCTTTTAATGGCAATACCTGCTGACCCAGTAGTAAAGTCACACCATGATTTCCCAGTGGTGGGGCTGTAGATCTTATGATCTGGAGGCTAAAAGGATGGATATTTCAGACATGCTAAACCACCATCCTAAACTTCACTACTGCTCAAAAGGATTCAATATGCATATAATCATATTTGAAACTGAGAAGTACATGACAACAAGAGCTAGGGATGAGTGGATTTTCTTTGCAAGTTGCTGTATTTCATGCCTCCTTAATTCTTGCTTATCAAGGAGAACTTCAAAAATAATTTCCTGAATTGGATCCTGTTCAGTTGGCTGCAGCTTTCATTTCATTAGCATTTCCCTCATCTACTCTGTATCGCCCACCCTCCCCCCACAAAAAGCAAAGCTAAACCAAATCCAACCAGCAACTAAACAGAAGTATTGGCAGGAAATCTGACTGCCTTTTTGTACCTTCCTCAGATCTGCCATCAATGTGGGGCACTGTGTATGCTTGTTAGAGTGTGTGTGCATGTGTGTGGAATAGAGACCGGTGGAACAATAGTGGAGAATAGTGGGAGAAAATTAAGCACAGTAGGCTTTTATAGAAAAGTGATCTGCCAGGAAGTATATCAGCTCTGCAAAATGCAAAGCTACAAATCAAGAGGCTATTGCAGTTGTTGCTGGTTTATGATTGCTTCTCTTGTATCTCTCAACAATGCAACAGCCCCTTCCCAGATGGATGATGAGCTTTGTGCTAAGCAGAAAAGTGATCAGAGAGAGCAGGGATGTGCCTTGGTCTGCAGCCTCCTCAATGGGGAGAATGCACTATGGGAATCAGATGACGTGGCTCCATGAATCAAAGCTGTGGCTGCAGCCCTGATGTGACCCTGCCTGGTGGCAGCACCCAGCATGTGCAGACATGTTGCAGAGGTCATCATAAATAGTTCCCCACATCTGCATTCATAAGTCCGATATAGGAATATGCAAATGAGTGATATTTGAGATTGGCGTGCTCTCCAACCATCTTCACGCCATTCGCCTCATGCCTGATTCTGCACCAACTGGAAATCCGTGCAAATCAAGGAGTGATCAAGTGGGAGATTTGCTCTCCTTTTCTCCATAGACTAAAGCAGGGCCAAGTGGGTGTTCAAAGGAAATTAGCACAAATCCAGCTGGGAATCAAGAATGCACCAAAGGTGAGCTCAGATTCAAAAAATTGTGGACATTGTTGGCACACGTACCAAACTGATCCACATTCAGTTTTGAGTGGGGCACATTTGTGTACTTTGTGAGCAAAAATGAAATGGCCATACATCCCATCCATAAGTCCCTGCAACATAAACTTTCTCTCACTTGCCTTAAACCACATGCCCTTGTGGAAGCATCGGCATTGGCTGATGGGTGCACAGTGGTACCCAGCCATGAAGTAGCCCTTCCGGCACTGGCATCCTTCGGCACAATTGTTGGGGCACTTGGTGATGGTGGTCGCCTCTTTGCATCTGCTTGGACAAGCCCTGGTGCAGAGTTCGTAGTGACTGTTGGCTGGGCATTTCATAGCTGCAAGGAAGAGAAGAGGAGGCGGCTACTGCCTGGATAATGGGGAGGAGGAATACCTAGGAAGCTGCTTTGTACCCCACCAGACCACTGGACCTTCTAGTTCAGCAAATATTACCAAGGTCATGACTCAGACTCTGCTAGTAGTATGAGTAATGGAAATGCTGGTGGAATACATTAGCCCTATATCTCTTCACAATACTGAAACTCGACATTCCTGAGCCTTGAAATCCCTTTTCGTGTGCCTGTGCTTGGGCTTATTGATCCCTGAAAGATCCTTTTCCTCCTCTCATGGTCAAGGCTAAGCCATAGTGGAAGGGACCAATTGTTAGACTGGGGCATCAGAGACAAGAGGAAGAGGCCAAGGTCAAAACTGAGGCCCAGGCGAGAACTCTGAAACAAGGAACAAAGTTGTGGGTTGGAGCCGAGGAATGCATTCATCCAAGAATGTATTCATCACATCTAGAAAGACTGCTATTGCTCTGGAAAACGCCCCACCCCAGTGGGAAGTCGCTTGTAGGCCTTTCTGGCTAATGGCCAGCCTGGATAAGCAGGGTCATTAGAGCCGGTGAGATTGCTTCAGTACCCATGGAAACACCCCTAACTAGAGTTCTGCTAGTTCCTGACATAGGACAGCTACCTACACAATTGAGGGTTCCTAGTTCCAAGCCTTCCAGGCACCTCCTAAATCCCTGCCTCCCACCTGCAGACATTTGGAAAACCCTGGAACCTGGCTACCTTCTCCTCCAGTTACATTTTTGGCCCAGGTCTTCTGGAGTGGCCAATGTTGTCATTTTTGGCACTCTATTTCAATTATATATGATTTTTATATGCAATGGGTATTTTGGTTTGCTTTTAGGCTCTTGCTCAATCGCATTGTGGCTGACCCCATCCTGTTTGCTGGCTCTTGTTTTCCTCATTATACTTAAGACCTCCCATCCTTCTTTCATCCCTTGCCATTGCAGACCTGGAGAGGGCCACAGGATGTGTGTGGGCTTCTGCCACCTACTCCCTGGTGTGCCCCATGCCCCTGCTGAAATAGGCAGCATGGGGAGGGTGATGGTTTTCTGACAAGCCACTACAGAGTGGGAAAAAGGGTGCAAGTAACGTAGCAAAGAGTGAGTCAGAAGGGCCTGGGCCATCTAGTCTGACCTCTGGCACCAGCCGGCTCCACACACGACCTGCCCACCATGTGCACATCCAGCCTATCCTTGAACATCCGCACCGATGGGGCCTCAACGACCTCCCGTGGAAGCCCATTCCACACCCTCGGGGTCCTGACTGTCAGGAAGTGCTTCCTGTCATCCAAATGGAGCCTTGGCTCCCTGAGCTTTGCCTCGTTGGAGCACGTCCTGCCTTCCTCTGCAGGGGAGAACAGGTCTCTACCCATCTCCATGTGACATCCCCTCACATACCTGGATGTTGTCAGGTCAAGTACCTAGAGAATAAACTCAACGTGGCATGTTTTTACCACTCTAGAGCAAATTTGGTAGCCCATGCAACTCTGCCTATTTCTGATCTAGGGCTACAGCAGAAATGCTAACTTTACAAATAACTGGGCTGGGATCTCTTCACTGTAATGCTGCTTTTGCATCACTGGACCCAGTATATGGATAGATGGGTTGATACCCCTATCAACCCTATGCATGGATGCATAATGGGTGTATTATTGTGCATGGCTGCTAGGCATGGTCCAAGGCCCCCTGTTGCAACCTCTTTATCCTCCCATTTCCCTAGTTCTTAAACAAAACCTAATTTCTTTCCAAAACCATTTCAAGCTGAACATTGCTGCTTAGGCACTGCAAGGACATCAGAAGGGTTAATTTTTGCTTGCTTGGGGGAGGGGGGGCAACCCAGAGACTGCCTTGTGCACTGGGCATCTCTGTGCCAAAAGTACCCCTCCCAGACACCTCTGCTTTGCCTCTGTAGCCAGAGGCAATGGACAGCCTCTCCTTGGAAGATTGGTTCTGCAGGGTCACTTACGGCAGAATGTTGCTGTCCTCCAGGGCTGGATCTTGACCCCAGCAGCTTGGCAAGCAATGGCGTAGCTGCGAATAGCTCTGCACAGAATAACAGGGTTCCCTCTCGCCTTGCAGAGATCGTGCACGCAGTTGTTATAGAAGTCTGTGGGGTTGATGGTGGAATAACACGCACTGAATGGGCCATATGGTGCCTGCAGGATGCCACACTGGCTGTTCTGCACGTAGCTGGCCTTCCGGCTCTGCTGGCAAGCCCCACACACGGAAGCAGCACAGTCCTCAGCACAGGCGGCAGTGGGGCCATCCACTTTCCAAGCAGTCACAAAGGATCGGATGCTCATGGCAGGGTGGCCAGTGGGAAGGAAGAAGTCATCATGGGGCCTGCCATTGTAATTGCCACACAAGCCACACATCTGGCCCTGGTACGTGTCAGGCACTTTGACAATTAGATGGTAGAGCTGATCAAAGGAGATGAATAAGCCAAAGTCTGTCCGGAGCACGATGTTGTCACCATGGTAGTAGACCCACATCCCATCATTCTCCAGGCGGAAAGGTAAGTAGGTGGTTGCACCATTTACCTGTGGCATCAACAGTGGAGAGTTAGTGGGAATCTAACAGGCAGGCGGAAGAAGAGGTCTGATGTGCCCAAAGCAAACTCTCTAAGTTAGTCTACTGCAGTGCACTCTGCCTGAGAGTGCTCTTGAAGGCAGCTCAGAAGCTGCAGCTTGGGCAAAACACAACAGCCAGGCGAGTAAGCCTGAACAGGTAAGATAAATTCTGGCCTGCTTGTCTTAGTTGCCTGAATGCTTCTGATCCAGATCCGAGGAGCTAGTTTTAAGCTATACTGCCTGACTTGGGACTGCAAAACCTGATGGATCACCTCTCTCGGGCACAATCTACCTGGACACCCTGGGGAGACTTAGAGAGTGGCAACAAGTGGGAGGGACTTCTCAGTGGCAGTCCCCAATAGTGGCATAATCTCCTCACTGAAGCACACCTGGAGCCAATACTGCCATCCCTCTGGGAAGAAGCTAGCTCTCTGTGCTGAGGCACTGAAATACATCTGAGGCTATTTTGATGGCTTGATGGACCATGTCACCTCTGATGAGACCTCCCTCAAATTTAAAGACACCTCTCTTTATATTTCTTTTATAGATTCCTTCATAGAGATGGGCCTGTTTCTCTCAAAACAGCATTTTCAGATAGAAAGTTCAGCCTCAGTATATGATCTAGATGAAAAAAGAGAGAAATTGGAATGTGGCACAGAAGTAACAAGATTAATGGATGAGATTTGCCAGACAGCTGCTGAAAACAGAATTGTCTCAGGTTTGGGAGAAGATGTGTAAAACAGGAAGGGTCTGAGAAGAAGAGATGTAAATTCATTAACTGAATGAACGAGTGTCAAGCCAATTGGATGGTCCCATTAACTAATGTCCAATATTCCAGCTATCTGCCTCAGAAGCAGCATGAACCTCCCTGCGGGTGGAGGCAAGCCTTTTTGGAAGAGAAGGGAGAAGGGTGTCTTCAGTTTGGAATCAACTCTTCAATTGTGCAAGGGCTGCTTCCACAAATTGAAGGGAATGTAACATTGGTGGTACTTGAGAACAAGCTTCTTACGAAGCACCCTGTGTCACAAACCAACCCCCATCTGGCTTATTTTAAAAGGCCTCAGTCTAGATCTGCTTGGAAAGAGAAAAGGTTAATGACATGCTCATGACACTCTTGTCCTCTCCAGCCATCTATCAGTGTTCATCTGACCATATCACTATCCCAGCTATGTTTCTTTCATACCCACCCACCTGGCTGCTGCATCCCTTTTCTCTATTTATTTAACAGCCCATGTCCTCCCAGCAGTGCCATGTTTCCCATCATTACCACTCCAATTCCCAAAGCCTTACCAAGATGAAGCCTCTCTTTTCCCGCAAGATGGAGATGGTGTTTTGGAAAGCGATGACAGACACAACCTTCGTTACAGAGACCTTGCCCCTGGACCGCCTCTCATTCTCCACATGGACCGAGAAGGAAGGAACAGAGCTCTTGAGTGTGCAGCTTCTAGCGAGGATGTAGGTGCAATTGCTCTGGATGTCAAATTTGGAACCATCAAAGGTGAGGTAGTGGGGGTCGCCAGACACGTGGCATGTCCCGCTCCTCCTGGAGGCAACCCCATGGCATGTCTGGACACCATCGATCAGACGACACTCCTCATGAGGGCCACAGGAGGAACGGTGGCACTCCATGATACCACCAACTTGGCAGACACATCTCTCCTTGCAAAATCCATTGAGATAGAAAGATTCACCAGCCTTGTAGTAGAAGCCTTGATGGACACAGCCACACTGGGAGATGGGGACACACTGGTCTCCACTCAAAACGAAACCCTCATTGCATTCACAACCCTCACGGCACTTTGCTGTGCAGAGCACTGGGTTAAAGAGGCTGCGGCACGTCATGGGGCAATCACTGGCACAGACTTTATAGTGGCTGTTTGCTGGGCAGTCAGGCACTGGAGAGACGGAGAGAGGCATCAGTGACACAGGTGAGCTACATTCCATCTTTCTTTGTTAGTTGCAGAGCCATGCCCGACCCATCATGACCCAATGAACAACATTCGTCCAGGCTCTCCTGTCCCCCACCAGCCCCTGGAGTTCACCTAAGCCCACACCCACCACCCCAGTGACTCTTATCTGCCCACCTCAGCCTCTGCTGTCCCTTTCTCCTTTTGTTGTCAATCATTTCCAGCATCAGGGTCTTCTCCGGTGAGCTGTTCCTTTTCATTAGGTGGCCAAAGTATTTGAGTTTCATCTTTAGTATCTGGCCTTCTAAAGAGCAGTCAGGGTTGATTTTCTACTTTCCATCTTATATACCAATTACACCCTCTAGCCCAATGATGTTAGTCTCCTGAATCAAAACCAGAGGTGCAGAACCTCCTTCAGCCTGAGGTTCAAATGCCTTTCAGAGAAGCTTCCAGTGGCTGCATTTGAGTGATGGGTAGGATTGAAGGCATGCAGAATGCTGTAGCCAGATTAATAACTGGAACCTCTAGGTTCAGCCAGATAAAACCAGTTGTGGGCCACTTCCATCTTTAAGGGCAAATGTATCAGCATATTCTCATGTGAAACTCTTACTGGCAGTGGCTAAGTCTAATGAAGAGTACTGCAAGAGGAGAGACCTTGCACAAAAGTCAGGAACCACCAAACCAGCAATGGTTGGAGGAAAGAGGATGGGGGGAAAACAAGGAGGCATGGTCTTCTGCAGAACTCCGGAAAGGTGAATTGGGACTGATGGTGAGGTTTTCCCCGGGGCTGCTGTTCTCAAACCCTGCCTCTTTCCCACTCCATCAGTGAAGTGTGAAGAGTAACACGTCTTGCTTGTGGACTTACTGCACAAATTCGTGGATCTCCATTCATAGATGTGTATCCCAGCTGTTTGGCAGGCTGCAACATAGGATGACAGAATGTGACAGATGACATTCTTGTTGCCTCTGTTGGAGCAATAGTCAAAGACACAGTCTTTGAAGTATGACTGAGGTGGCACCATTCTGTGACACATCTTAAAGGGGCCATGCTTGTCCAGGAGGATGCCACATTCCTTGCTGGTGCTCTGTACACGCTCCACAGTCACGAGGTCATGGCAGGCCTTCTTCTCCTTCTCAACACAACCTGGAATATCTCGCACCTTCCAGCTTCTGCCAAACTCTCCTGGATTAGTGGCTGGCATCCCATTTTGTTGCAGCATGTCATCATCTGCCCACCCGTTGTAGTTACCACACAAGCCACACAGGTAACCCCTGTAGGTGCCTGGCACCGTGAGACGAATATTGTTCTTCCCATCAAAGGTGACTGTTAAACCAAAATCAGTAGTGAGGACAATATCCCAGCCCTGGCGGTAGAGGGAGACCTTGTCGTATTCAATGTTGTAGGGCAAGTTGATCAGTAGGCCATTCAGCTGGGAAACGAGTGGGAAGAGAGAAATCATTTAGAACCTTGGCGTGAAACAGACCTTTCCTTGGGAATGCAGTTCTGAGGGAACATGGACCTTGATTGCCCCACATGCTGAAGAAACCAGAGTGGGGTGAGTGCAAAGCTATTCTCTCCACAAATGGATTGGGCCTAGGGTGGCCATGTGCCCTTCTGTGCAGAGGACTGTCTTCCTTTGTTTGATGGGCTGCCTGGTTCAAGTCCACTTTATAGACAAAGGATACAAGGCCAGAAGACACTGTCTGGGCAGCCAGAGGTGGAGACCCATGGAGACCTTGGCAATTCTTTTGTGGTCGCACCTTAAGAGGACCCCCTCCAGCCTCTTAGCTTGTGCGGTTCTTTCTATGCTGGCTGAGGCCCTGAAGACAAAGGCTGATGCTAGGGGAAGGCATTCTGGGGGATGGAGAGTGCCTCAGCCCCTCCTCCCCCTGAGGTGGGAGGCAACATTTTGATGGCTGAATAGGCCATTTAAATGTTTTTGAAGGCGAGGAGAAGGTAAAGGCACTCCTCTTTCCTCTGCTCCTCTTACACTCAACTGGATGCCTCTAACTGAGTTCAGCAGGTCATGGCCAGCTACATAGGACTGCACCCCAAGAACCCCAAGAAGTGACAGTGGTCTGGACTTGGGAGTTTCCCAACTACTCTTAAGACCTGGACAGCAGACTGGGCAGGTAAGCACAGGAATATCCTGGCTCCAGTCTTTTGTACCATAGTTATTTGTGCTATGTCTTCTTTTAAATTATAGCAATCATTTCTAAATTTGTATCTATACATGTATATGAACCTGTGCACATTTTATGTATATTGGAGTCCTCTTTTCTGATGATACATTGAAATGACCACTCCAACTGTACCTTTTCAAGCATTTCATTTTGAAATACTCATTTTAACCAGTTTCAGTTTCTTCTGCCACTGCACTACCCAATTCCTGTCCCCAGGAGAAAAGAACCTCACTTCAGAGACCAAACAGGGTAACAGCAGAAGGTGTGAGAACTTTAAAGATTCAGCCAATGGTGAGGGATCATGGGAGAACATCTGGCTACAAGTGGTCTTCTCCAAAGTTGAAAGAACATGGAGAACTCCTAGTCAATGCATCATTGTTCATCAACTTTATGCCTTGTTTGTTCTGTCCTCACAGAAGAACAAAGCCCTCTGATACAATGTTTGAAGGATTGAGCGAACCCAAGATGTATAGGAGAAGAAAGGCAGAAACGGTTAAGGTGTACTCACCAAGACTTGGCTACGGCTGATTGTGACAGTCATCCCATAGACCTTGATCTCAGTGGCTTTGGCAGCAGAAGGGACCTTGAGTCCCTGCCTCTCTTGCTGAACAAGGACGTGGAACTGAGTTAGGTTTGCTGACCTGTGGCAGAGTTCAGCCAGGCGATAAACACAGGTTCCATAGAAGTCAAAGCGCAGCCCATCAAAGGTGATGTAATGTAACTGGCCCAGGGCAGTGCAAGTCCCATAGACAGTGGGATAGCACTTCCTCATGCCATTGACCACATGGCACCCCTCCACCTCACTGCAACGGGCGCTGTGGCAGACCACTTTCCTGTCTTGTGCCCTGCACAAGCATTGCTGATGACATTGGTTGTCGCCCCAGAACCGCTCATTGGGTGCATAGAGCTGACCGTGGAAGTTGCAGCCACATCGGCTCTTGGGGATGCACCTGCCGGCATCCAGCACATAGCCTGGCTTGCACTGGCAGGTCTCCATGCAGGGCAGGTGGCACTTCTTTGGCGCATCAGGGTTGGTGCAGGTGGCGGGACAGGCTGAGCCACAGGCCACATACTGGCTGTAGTCTGGGCAAGTCAAGGCTGCAAACATAGGAAAGCAAAGGGGTGGGGGGCAATCAGCAGGAGTCACTGTGCATACACAAAACTTTGCCTTATAGCAATGCTCATACCACACTTGGATGTTGTGAGCTGAATTATTCACTAATTTTTCAGGAGCTATATGTTGTCTTTTAGAAGGAATTAAACAAAGGATCATCAATGATGAGAACAACCATGGTTCTAAGGTGGTTCATGCAGACTATGGAAGCATTTGCACCAAAATGTATGTCACACTGGGTTAGAAGCATAGAAACAGAGTGAGTCGGAAGGGGTCTTCTTGGCCATCTAGTCTGACCCCCTGCCCCAGCAGGCTCTGTTCATGAAATACACATCTAAGTCTGGATGCAAAGAGAAAGCATGGAGGAGGGATTTACTTGGTCTACATTTTCAGGCAAACGTTCTGAATGCACTTCTGTGCTCAAATCCACACTTCAGAATTTTGTTATGTTGTTTGCGTCTCAACAAATGTGTAGGGATAAGAGAGCCAGGCATGATGGAGTGCACTGAAATTCTTCAGCTCTGTTTCACTTTTGTTTGCACATACGGTCTCTTTTTCATGTAATTTAAAGGGGGAAGTGCATATTTCTCAGCAGGTGCATGTTTCTAAAGTTCTGCATTATCAAAGTGCATATTTCCTGAATGAGAAAGTGGACATCCAGAAATATTCAAAAATTCACACATTTGCAAATTTGCAAACATTGTCAGAGAACACATGCTCTTGTCATGTTCAGGATTACAGAAATGGAATGGAATGTTTGAGTGATTAGCAAACTTGAAATGAAATTCTCCTACATCCATAAAGTATGCACAAAAATTGATGTGCTAATGAAAAGTGCATGCAAACTTGTTTAATGGGTGAAGCTATGTACAGAGCATATCAGATTTGTGAAGAACGCCTTGCAAAAAGTGTGCACACCAGGAAAAGTGTGAAAGAAAATTCACTTGTAGTGAAAACTTTGTAAAAAATGAAAATAAACCCTAACCCTAAACCTAATCCTATTTTTCATGCACACTCTTGTTTGCCGAATTCTCAAACTGATGTGAAAATGGGCTAAAATGAGCATATAGCTGGGAAAATTAGAATTCAAGCCAAACTGATCTTGACAAATTCTACCATCCCCGAGAAAGATGCATAGTCTCTTCTGATACCTGTGATTTTAAGGATACAGCTTTACTACGAATGTAAACAAGTCAATGCCTGATTTAATGGTTATGTGGGCAGTCTTAAAACATTTTGAGAACTGTAGTTTGATGAGGGATCCTTTGCTAGACATCTCTGGTGAAAAGTCCTCAATTTTCCAGGGCTCCTTGACAGGCATTTGCATTTAATATAGTTGGCAGCTGTGATTCCATACTTACTCGGCACTAGGTATCATTATTGCCACTGACTTCTAAATTTTTCATGACAAAATGCATGGAACTGGCTGTAGGTATGTAATGCGGGGTTCTTGTATTTCAATTTGTATTTTGTTCATCAGGGTTATAACATGCTAGAGACCTCTTCAAAGAAGAGAAATCCAAAACTTGTTTACTTTTCATAATTTGTTCTGAATCTGTTGAAACTTGCTAGAGTGAAAAGGCCGATGATTCCAATTTTGGTGGAGCAGTGCATCCACTCTAGATTCTAGCCTGAATTGTTAAGCAGCCATCCATGTTGCTGAAATGATTTTGGGGATATGGCATAGTGTTGGGAACCACAGACAATGCCATTAAACAGTGGCAGACAAACAGTGAATATACCCACCACCAGCCTCCAATGGTTCCTTGTCTGTTGAATGAGCTCACCCAGAAGAAAGTGTTCTGCTTTATCTATCCACAGCATTCTGTACTACAAATACTGATAGGATCTGCTCAAAAGTTGGTAGGATTTAGCCAGTCTGTGCTAAGAGTTGGGGTGTTCTTGTTAGCACTGCATGTTCCTACCTCTTGTTGCAATCCTGTCACCTTGGCTGGTCACTCTATGAGAAGGACTGTGACTTAATAGCAGAGCATGTGCTTTTTATGCAGGAGGCTCCGGGATTAATACCAGTCACCACTGACCTACTGTAGATTAGCCAGTGATTTTAGCTAGGATAAGGCTGTTCTTACAGCTGAGTTCTACGCTACTGCTTCATGCATGAAAGGCAGCAAAGCAATAAAGGATATTGGCAGGGAAACCTGGAACTGCCATTGGTGGTGAGCTCCATCCCCCAAATAGGTTCATCACCATGTCTAGCTCCTATCATGCTGGGAATAACATTGCATTGGCTAAGGTACACCCCTGACATAGGAGTCACCATTCTCTCCTGCTTCTTGGTGTGCTTTACAGGGATGGGTGCTGAGAACATTCCTGCTTGCTTCAGGATTTAACACTATCCTTTTCCTTACTTCTTGTTCCCCATGCTCAGCAAATCCTCAATATATGTTTTCAGAGAGCTGGTACTCTTTTTAAAGTCTAAACATGGTACTGTACCTCTATCCAGCTGCCTACAGCACCCATCTCCCTGCATGTCACTTGCTTATAGAACACAGCCTTCCAAAACTGGGACACCATGGCACCTCTTCCACATATCCACAGGGGACAGGTCACAGAAGGCCTATCACCAAACATTCCCAGGAATACTCACGGCAGCCGGCCTGTTTCCTCCAGGCAGATATCACCACGCCTTCTCTTTGGCAGGCATCAGCATAGGTCTTCAATGCTCGGCACAAGATCTGCTTGTAGCCCTCAAAGGTACATAAATCAGTCACACAGTCATTCAGATACGGTTTCGGATCAATCACAGAACGGCAGAGCCAGAAGGGGCCACCCCTGTGCTTTGTAATCAGGCCACAAAAGGTCTCTGCAGAGTATCTGGCCACCAGCTCTGGAGCACAGCGCCAGCATTTGCCATGGCAGCCATGACTACAGGCAGTACCTCCATCTTCCACCTTCCAGCTCTTGCCAAATCCCACAGCAGTGGTGGCCAAACCTCCTGAGGATGTGAGAAAGTCATCATTGGGGTCCCCATTGTAGTTGCCACATAGGCCACAGATTTGGTTCTGGAAGGCTGGAGTGACCTTCACCACTAGGTAATAATTCCAGTCATAGTAAACCTTGAGGCCGAACTGTGTTTCAATGACCAATTGGCCTCCACGATGGAAAAGGGAGAGCTTCCCTTCGCTCAGACTTACAGGTAGGCGGGAACGTACTTGATTGATCTAGAAGTGGTGGAAGCAGATAAAAGTAGTCATTGTATTTGGATGAGTTTACATACTCTGAATGAGCAGCACTGAAATGACACATCAAAGCTTTAAATGTGCTTAGTGAGTCCACATTTCTCTTTCAGAAACTACGCAACAACCATGATATAGCCTTGACTAATAACCTTTCAGTCATTTGTGATCTTGCGGCTTACAACCATATGGAAACAACCTTGCTGTTGGACAGAGGGTCTGTAGTACATGCTTTGCATTCAGCAAATATAAGAACTTTGTATTTTGCTTGCAAAATGTGAGCATACCTTGTTTGAACCCTCAAACGTCATCCTAAGTACATTTGCTGAAAATGTTTGCCAGTTGCCAGGCATGGGCATGTGCTTGGTTTATAGGACTTTTCTAGTCTGATTGTGCACACATTTCTTAATTTGCACAAATTTTCCCTGCAGACTGAAGCCATGGAAGGTGAGCAAATGAGGAAATATACACCGATTTGCTCAAATTTCATATCTGATCACGGATTGGTTTGCACTATTTTCCTGCTGGTGCAGAGTGACTCGAGATTGCAAACATGAGAGAAATTGGGCACAAGATGAGCAGCGAGCTGACGTCCAAAGAATTCTGGCAATCTAGAACTTTACCTGTTTTTCCATCCCTACTTTGCATGCAGACATTTCTAGCTATTTATGGTATTAGCAGCTGAAAAAAAGATTCAAGTAGCAGGTTCTTAGGGAAATCCCCTAAACAGAGGGGAAGGGAACTAAATTTAAAGGAAGAGATGCTGGCTTAGTCTTGGTAGGGACGGTATGGAAAATATGCAGGGATGAGGAATGGAATAGAAATAGGAATGGCATGCCAAAGAGCCATACTCCATGCCACTGGAGTCTGGAACTTGTGGCTGTGCAGGAGTTTTGGCTTACAATTTCCAACAGCCACAGCCAGCATAGCCAATTGTGAGGGATCATGAGAGCTGAAGATCGAAACATTTGAAGAGATACAAGCTGCCAACCTCTTCATACTGCACCACTTCCTTGAAAACCAATAAATACTATTCCCCTTGTAGTTCTTTGGAGAACAACACAAACAAACACTTCTCTTAGTTTAAAGGAGAACACAGAAATTGGTTCTTACTCTGACAAGGCCGTATTCATACTTGACCATTGTGATGTTGTAGCTGTAGACAGTGATGGTGACCTGGTTGACAAAAGAGAAGGGGAGCCTCTTCTGGCTCTTGGTAAAGATGTGGAAGAATGGTAGCGTGGAACTGGGCTTGCAAGTCTTGATCACTGTGTAAGTACAGGTGCCCTGGAAGTCATAGCTGTGTCCATCAAAGGTATGGTAGTGGGGATGACCAGAAGCCCAGCAGACTGGTTGGGTGGGCAAGATGGGGGCACACCTGGCAGAACCACTTACAACCTTGCAGACAGTCCCCTCTCTGCACTGAATCCTGCGACATAATTGTGCTGTGGCTACACATCTGGGTCTGCCATCTATAATCTGGCATTCATATCCGCTTCGACAATGGGTAATCCCACAGAAGCTTGTTACAGGAATGCACTGGGGCCAGCCATTCACAGTTTCACAGACAGTGCCCACTCTGCAGCTGAACTGGTCACAGGAGGATGGGGTCGGAACACACTGGGGCCAGCCAGAAACCATTTGACATATGGTTCCTACATTGCAGGTGACATTTCCACAAGATGGGATGGGAACACACTGGGGCCAACCATTAGTGATCTGGCAAACTGTCCCAGCACTGCACTGGAATCTGTCACAAAAAGGCGAGATGGGAATGCATGTTGGCTGTCCACCGTATATCTCACACACGGTCCCAACACTGCAGTTGAAGCTTTCACAAGAGGGCTGGACTGGGACAGGAATGGAAACACACTGGGGCCAGCCATTGCTGATCTGGCAAACTGTCCCAGCACTGCACTGGAATCTGTCACAAGAAGGCGAGATGGGAATGCATGTTGGCTGTCCACCATATATCTCACACACGGTCCCAACACTGCAGTTGAAGCTTTCACAAGAGGGCTGGACTGGGACAGGAATGGAAACACACTGGGGCCAGCCATTGCTGATCTGACAAACTGTCCCAGCACGGCATGGGAAATTGTCACAGGAAGGTGAGATGGGGATACATCTTGGTTGTCCATTATATATCTCACATACTGTCCCCACGTTGCAGCTGACTTTTTCACAGGAGATTGGGATAAGATGACAGGTGGGCCACCCATCAACCATTTCACAAAGAGTCCCTTCTCTGCACTGGATTTTGTCGCAGGAAGCTGGGATGGGAACACACATGGGCCAGTCATCAATTATTTCACAAGTGGTTCCATCTTTGCAACCTAGTTTGTCACAAGAGGGTGGAATGGGCACACACTGAGGCCACCCGTCAATCATTTTGCAAGTGCTCTTCTCTCTGCAGTGGATTTTGTCACAGGAGGGTGCGATTGGCGTGCATCTGGGCCAGCCTTCAACAATTTGGCAAATCGTCCCCAGCCTGCAATAGATATCTTGACAGGAGCGGGGAACTGGAACACACTTTGGCTGACCATTAGCTGCTTCACAGATGGTTCCTTCTTTACACTGCATCTTTGCACAGGTGGTAGCAATGGGAACACATTTGGGCCAACTGTCAATGATTTTGCAAACTGTCCCTTGTGTGCACTCTATTTGCTGGCAGGAAGATGGCCTGGGCACACAAGTAGGCCATCCATTCATGACTTCACAAATGGTTTCCGGCCTGCAGGTGTATCTTTCACAGGAAAGTGGCATGGGGATGCAAGTGGGTAGCCCATTGACCATTTCACACACGGCATCTTCTCTGCAAACAACAGATGCACAAGACGTTGGCAGGTCAGGAACGCATGTTGGCCAGCCATTGACAATGTCACATACCGTGCCCCTTTTGCAAACAATTGTCTCGCAGGAGCGTGGAATGGGCACACACATGGGCCAATCATTCACCATCTCACAGACCGTACCCACTGTGCACTGGATTTTGTCACAGGACGTTATGGAAGGGACACACCTGGGCACATTGTCGATGCTCTCGCAGATCATTCCTTCTTGGCAATGGACGGTGTTGCAGGAGGGCGGAATGGGTATGCACACGGGCTTGCCATTGACGATCTCACAGAGAGTCCCTGGTTTGCAGTGAATGTTGTTACAGGAAGGTGGGGTGGGTGCACATATGGGCAAGCCATTCACAGTCTTGCATTCGGTGCCGGCTTCACAATTTAAATTCTCACATGTTGGTCCTGGGATACATTTTGGCCAGCCTTCGACAATATCACACACCATCCCTTGCCTGCATTCAACCTGCAGGCAAGATGGTGGCAGAGGGACGCACTTTGGCCGGCCATTGACCATCTCACACATGGCTCCTTTGTTGCACAGTATGACCCCACACGATGCTGGTGCTGGGACACATTTAGGCTGGCCGTGAACAATTTCGCATATGGTCTCATCTTTGCACTGGACTTGGTGACAGGAAGGCTTGCTGGGCATACACTGGGGCTGTCCATTTACGAGTTTGCACACCATTCCTGGATCGCATCTGAAGTTTTGGCAGGACGCAGGTGCTGGGATACATTGCGGCCAATTGTTAGTGACCGCACAGGTGGTACCTTCTTTGCAATGAATGTCAGCACATGACCGAGGAATTGGCACACATTTAGGGAAGCCCTCTGCTAGGTCACATACTGTCCCTTCTTTACACTGGACATGATGACAAGACGGTGTGTATGGCATGCATGTGGGCAGGCTCTCGACCATCTCGCACAGAGTCCCCTCTGGGCATTGGAAGGCGCTGCAGCTCTGAGGCTCTGGGATGCACTGTGGCTGGTTGTGCTTAATGCTGCACGCATAGCCTGTTCCACAGGTTATTCCACCGCAGGTGTTGGGAAAAGGGCTCATCAGAGGCAGAACTGCAAGAAAACAGATGTGCATTACTGGGGAGAAGCAGAAAAACATCCAATACTGAAAACCCCTGAAAGCCTGGACCATGAATCTGAAAACTTCTCTCAAGTGGAAGTCGGCCATCAGGTTGAAAGGTTCAATTCCTATGGTATAGTCCTTTTTTTCATTGCTTTTTTACCTCACCTTTCAATAAAACATCTCCAAGGGGTATTTTACAATAGTAAAATCCATCATAACAAGTGAAATATCAAACCATACAAAAGAATCTCAAAATCCAAGAACAGCATGTATAAATAGTAGACAGTTAAAAAGTGTTACAGCAAAATACAGATAAAACACAGGGTGACTGTCAGGATCTGGGCAGCTTCAGGGCTCCTCCTGCTGGCCAAATGCCTGAATAACAGCCCTGGTAGTTGCAGGATTGGTCCCAGGCTCTGCTGCAGCTTTCAGGACCTTCATGAGCACCACCTGGGAGCCCTGGGGAAAAGCTATTTAAGAAGTGGGTCCCCCTTCTAGAAGTGGCCTCAGTAATGAAGGTTTCCTGACTGCTTCCTGGTTGGTGTTGCTGGAGTGCTTGATCCTGGGCTTTGCTCCTACCTTGGTCTCTAGGTTTTACCTCTTGTTGACTTGCTTTTCTGACTTCTGGCCTGCCCAGACTATGTTATTGTTTACTGGACGGTGCTTGCCCTGTTTGGATCGCTGAACTGTACTAGGCTTAGTGTTTGGACATTGGTTTGGTTGGCCAGATCCTGGTGCCTGTACCTGTTGTTCCACTGTCTGCGCCCTGGACTCTGACAGCAACAGAAGAATAAAACAACTTTATAGGCCAAATTCCTGTTTTGCTCATGGCTGATACAGGTTGTCTGGATATGGTTTTGACTCTTATTGCCCAGGTATAATGGCTAGTTTTCCATTTATGTAGCCTGGAGAGGGTCACTTGTATGCTACTTTGTACATCCTGGTTTATACAAACAGCTGTGTGTAGAGAACCAGCTAGCTGAGATAGTAAGGACAGTAGCTGTAAACTGAAGCTCAATCCAGATAAGACGGAGGTTCTGTTGGTAGGTGATTCAAGGTCCTGGGTGGGTGACTTGGGCCCTGCCCTGGACGGGGTTGCACTCCCTCTAAAGGATAGAGTCCACAGCTTGGGAGTGCTCCTTGACCTGGAGCTGTCCTTGGAAGCCCAAGTGACAGCAGTGGCGAGGAGCGCTTTGCTCCAGCTTCAGCTAATGTATCAGCTGCGTCCCTACCTGGAGGAGGATTGCCTAGCAACAGTAACACATGCATTGGTTACTTCCTGGTTGGGTTTCTGTAATGCACTTTATGTGGGGCTGCCCTTGAAGACAGTCCGGATGGTTCAAAATAGAGCTACCAAGATGCTGTCGGGGACTGGGCATTATTCTCATATAACTCCAGTCCTCTATCAGCTCCATTGGCTTCCCATCGAAGTCCGGGCTCAATTCAAGTTGCTGGTTATCACCTTTAAAGACCTAAATGGCTTGGGACCAGGATACCTAAAGGAATGCCTTTTTTCCTATTTGCCCTCCCTCCACCTCAGATCGGCAACAGAAGCCCTCCTCCGGGAACCCTCTGTGAAAGATGTTAGGAGACAGAGTACCCGGAGGAGGGCCTTCTCTGCAGTGGCGCCGTGACTATGGAATGCACTCCCCAGAGAGGTCTGCCTGGTGCCGTCATTATATGTTTTTTGGCGCCAGGTTAAGACATTTTTATTTAATCAAAATTTAATATGTTTTAATATTGAATTTTATTGTTGTATTTTATTAATTTGCAGCCAGTGTGGATGGTCAATTTATCTATGCTTTAAACCATCCAGAGATACAAGTAATAGGATGGCATACAAATTTTATAAATAAATAAATAGTTAATGTTTCTTTAAGGTAAGGTGTGATTCTGTTTTGCATAAAGGAGACATTGCTAAGAACTTTAAAAAAAAATAAATACTTGGACCCTACAGAATTGAATACTTTCTGGCTGGTTTCTGGCATTCCATTCTTGAGTATGGTCCTGGACCATGTGGTAACTTCGTGATCCCAGGATGGGATGGAACTCCTGGTTCCATTTCAATCTGGATTTAAGCCTGCTTAAGGGACAGACTGCTTGGGTCACCTTGGTAGACTGGGCAATCTATGCTGTGGAAGTGCATCTCTGCTGGTTCTGCTGGGCCTTTTGGAGACCTTCAGTATCCTTTAACATGCTATCCTTTCAAGGCATCTCAGATGGGACTGATAGGCTTTGTTAGATGGCAGCTCTGGTCCTTCAGGGAGGAGCAATCTCTGAAGGTGGTAGAAGGGGTGGGGTGGGTTGTGCTGAATGCCATGGCTACAGGCCTGTGGGGTCTCACAGACTTCAATCTTATCTCCCATATATATGCAGGAAGCTGCTGAGAGGTTTTGTCTGGCGCTTTGGAAACTCTGGGTCACCAGTATGCTGATAATGAGACCCAACTCTCCTTCCCATTTAAATCCAAGGAAGCTATTCAGGTACCTGCTGTTGGTAAGAAACTGGAGGAGGTCAAATTAAAGCTTGATCAGTCAAGCTGGAAGGGCAAGGGATATCACATTTTTCTGTTCTGGGCTGCAGTCCTTTGGAGATAATCTGTCAGGGACTATATGCTTGTGGTGAGAGTGAGCAAGCAATAAGGAGGGGCAGAGACTATAGTGGCAGGGGCCATGGCTTTTTTTTTTTTTTTTTGCTCTCCTTCTCCCTCCCCAGCCAGCATTGCTTTGAGCAGACTCCTTGCAGGAGGTGTTAGAAGTTAGGCTCATGCAGCTGCTTGGCTTCCCAATCAAAAATTCCCTATAATTGTGAAGGTGCAGCAAAAATTAAATTTCAGACATTTTAGAAAGGAGAAGAACTGCAAAAACAAACAAGCCAATCCGTGCTCAGGGAAAGAAGGCAAAGGCAGAAAAGAGTGCAGTTATCTAGGAAGACCTCGGAGGGCAGGAATTGGTCTGTGGGCCCAAGTTCCTCACAGTTGCATCCATGGATCATATGGCAAGATTGCATCTAGCTTTCCTTAGGTGCTTGGCTTTGAATCAGCACTATCACCCTCCAGCTCTTGTTGAATGGCAGAACCTGTACTTAGGGTTTGTTAGCAGTGTATCATTTCCCACTGCCCCTCTTTCTAAATTCCACATAAACAGAGAATGCATAGCCTTAGGCCTTGAACATAATCCAGCCTTTTTACCTTGAACCCTTTTGGGGGTTTTTTCTCTTCATGGTCATGACAGTGAATAACATCACAGCATTTAGAAATAGGAACTTTGAAAAAAATGGATGTTACTGGATGTCCTGAGTCAATGTTCCATACTTTAAAATACTTTAAGGATATTATACTTTCCATAGAATCTAGGAATACATGTATAAAGTATTTGGGTATGTTTATGTGTGCTCTACAATCTCAGAAGTAAGAATTCCCAAACCCCATCTCTCTTTCCATTCTCTCTCTCTCAGCTTAGTCTGTCATATCCCCACACTGCATTTTGCAACATGTATTCAGATGAGCATGCTGTCATTCTGGTTACTGTCCTGTTATCCCATCCATATAAATGCAATCATGACCATACTTACCGCACAGAGCACTCCAGGCCCACAGAAGCAACATTTTGGCAGTCCTTCAGCCTACAACATAAAAAAGGACAATAAGTGTATCGGAATGCATGGGCAGATTGTATAGGGGACAATTCTGTCCTTCCAGTGAGTTCTTCCACCAAGTTTCAGCCACTGAGGTGAAGATTCTTAACACATCTAGCAGAAAATTCAAATTGTTGCTTCTGAGTGAAGATGCATTCCACTGAGTCACATTTCCAGACCATTTTGCTCCTGGTACAGTTGCCTTTCTGAGGTATTGAAGAATGGGTGGAAAGACTTCAACGGTCACTGAACTTCCATTAATTGTTAGAAGAAAAGACCATCATTCGTGTTTTCTTTGGATCCGCTGTGACATAAGCATGTCAGAGGCAGAAAAGCCAATTAAAAGTTTGGCAGACCAGATGCCACAGCTCCTCACTGATGCATCTATTAATGGCATTGATATTATCATATTTTATTTCTTTACCAACCTATAGCCTCTCAGGGTGGTTTCCAACAGAAGAACACTGTACTATAAAATACAGATAACAATAAAACATCATATTATTCTAGCACAAAATTTAAAAGCAAATGTTAAAAGCTAAAGGAATTAACAGACATTAAATTGCAAGACCTATTAAGTGATTGACCTTGTACACCAATTTAACATTAAAGCTAATTAGATGTCCTGTCATAGAGGATGTTCTAAACCTGGTGCTGAAACGATATTAGGGTTGGCACCAGGAGGGCCTCAATGGGGAGCTTGTTTCATAATGAGGAGGGAGAACACCACCGTGAAGGCCCTTCTTGTGCCTCTAACTGACCCTCTTTTGGTGGTTGATGGCAAATTGGGCAGACCCCAGATCTTAATTGTAGTGTTGCTTAAGGTGCAAACTTATGCAAGTCTAGACAGAGATAAGCTCCACAATTCTCAGCATATCCCAGCCACTTATGCCTTTTTTCTGCCTAAACTTGCACAGGATTAATCTATGAAACATAGGGTTCTCTCAGATGGAGAGGTCCTAGAGTCACGAATGAAAGGATGCTGTGCAGTTATTCTGTCTTGTCTTCTTGAGTGGGTTTTCCCCAGTAAGAGGGGAAAGAAGTGATGGGAAAATATGCAGGTCGCAAGAGGTGGATTATGTCATCCTGCTTCCAAGTAAAAATTTGGAAATGGGTAAGGGGAATAGGCCTCATGTAGAAGCCCCAGCCCCATTCCAAATGGATCAGAAAAGACAAAACCATTCCTTTTTGCCATAGGAGTGCACTTATGGCATAAGGTTGGAACCAGTGGTGGCATAGTGCTAGTAGAAAGCACTTTCAGAGGGATCATATTTTCTCTGAGTGCTTTACCTATTTCCAGAAACAGAATCAAGTGCTTGACTTTTGTAGGAGAGAAGGGCCATCACCCAAGGAG